TAGACATCCCGGGAGGTCCTTTTTCCTTATATTTTATTGTTGGGCGCACCCCATCTCTCACCACATTCGGTTTCTGATATGTAATTCTGGACTTCTTTAAGATTGCTACAACAGTGAGAAAGGTCAAAATAGCTCCTAGTAAAAGCACAGAAGCCTCTATATTAACCTCCCAAAATAGCAACATTCCCAAGCCAAAGTCCAGAAAAAACATACCTCTCCGAATTTACCACCCTGCAGTTCTGAATCCGCCCCGTTAGAGGGGTCTCCGCAGTGCCGGAGATGTTCATATGTTCCCGGGTTTCGGCACCATATGTCCCGCGTGCTGTATGTTCTCGCCGGCAAGAAATACACGCAGGACACTCGGATCCTTCTGCAGACAAGCTTTAATGCATCTTGAGAGTTGGGAGAGCATAAGCTTACCAGAGCAGAGACTCTGAACCAAGAATCCCTTTCCTTAATAAAGGCTGGCAAGCAGCCGCCTGGGACGTGTTACCCTATGAATGGCTTCAGCTCCTCAGGCCAAATGAGCCACGGGATAGGCAGAGATCAAAGGAATGGAGATTACCCAGCGCCTGTGAAGTAATTTACATTTTGGTGTCTTCAGGCACCATCATTGTAATGGAGAATGCAGGAAACGGCTCCCTACATACGTGTGGTTCATTTTCACTCAGACGCCCTCAAATACTTGTTGAATTCGTTGAAATATTTACTTCAACAAGTCAAACACGTAAGAAAAAAAATGTAATCAAACTTTTCTTTGGGCCACCAGTTCACAATAACAACATGGAGACTTATTGTGATTCATGAAAGCTCAGCCTTAGCTTAGGCTTGTCCCACTAGCTCTAATAAATTAACCTGCTTTCATTAACCTATATTTTACCATGTAGCTTTTACCTTCCTTTCATTCTGTATGCCCAACGCCCTCCGTGTCTCATTAGCATCTCCCCTGAACCAAGAGTATCTCCTACTTCTTCTCTCTGTCCAGGAGTCCTGCATATACCTCCTGCCTAGCTATCTCCCATTCAGCTTTTTATTAAACCAACCACAGCAATATATCTTCACACAGTCTACACAACAAAATAAACAAGTCACTGAAACACTCTCCTCCTCTTCCCCTACACCTCCATTGCCCCAGCAGCCCAGGCAGGGGAGGTCCTGATACTCTTTACCACCGGAACACTACAGCACACCACACTACACCAAGTGTTCACATCCCCATCCTGACAATGAACTTGTGGCAGGAAATTCACTTCTGACTTCAAATCCTCAGTGTCTGGCATGGCTACCGGGGTTTCAGGCACCCTGCTTAAGATCTTTCAGTAAGGAAGCAACTGAGCCTAAAGCGGAGCCTGGACAGGAGTTTCACACTCGCTGGTCATGCCGGCTCACCACTGCTATTGAACCTAAACAGTGGTGCCCCCGAGGGTCTTGCAAAGGCCAGTTCTCATCATTAACCTTGCAAGGCTGGTTAGACGAAATTCTTGGCACCTGGGCCTGGTCTTCAAAGGCCTTTATGCAAATTTTGCTTTATGATTTGGGAGTAGCTTTTTTTTTCTGTCTTAGTAAACACTTTAAAAATGCAAGAGGTAAATTTGCAGGCACTTCCTATCAACAGCCACACTCTGCAAACACTCTAAACCCCACAGCACTGGGTAATATAGGGTCATTTTAATAACCATATAACCTGTCAGTCACAGACTCTAACTCAAAAACATCAGAAAGTGCTTTTACTAGACAGAAACACATCTTGGAATCATTAGCAAAGAACTTTTTTGTTACCTCAGACTGTTGCAGAAGGGCTGAGAAGGGGAAGCTGATGGAGCCCAGCCAGTTCTTTTGTATGTAAGCATGAGTACTGCAGCTCTTGAGACAATGGTCCTGTTAAAGCAAATTTAAGGTAAACTCACAAAAATGGCAGGATACTTTCACAAACTCTTAGGTAGCTGTAACAAACTATTCTTTTTGTTCTCTCTCTGTGTCTCTTTGTCTCTCTGTCTCTGTCTCTCTCTCCCCCTTTTCTTTTTCCGTGGCATCCTAAGTTCTAAAGTCTGAGTGTCTAAATTTCTGATGTGGTATATGGTGTCATCTACAAATGGGTTAAGACTCATCATAACTATTCCAAGATGCTCTCGGCCTGTGGGGCACAGGTTGGACAAGCCTAGAAAAGAAGGCTCATCTAAACGGCTAAGATACTAAATAATACTTCTTTCAATTTATATTAACACTGGGCAGTGGTGGCACACACCTTTAATGCCAGAGCTCCAGAGGCAGAAGCAGGTGTATCTCTGTGAGCTTGAGGCTAGCCTGGGTAAACTGCAGAACAGTTTAACTTCCCAGGTGGGAGTGGGGGCAGTAAGATGTCTGTCTAAACAGAACTACGGGAGATAACACCAGGTGGCTGAGAACCATCACAATGTTTCAGAGAAGAAAAAAGAGATACTTCGGATGACAGAGACCTAACATGTCAGCATGTAGCCTGACAGCCCTCATTTCATTGTGTGTCATTCCCTCCTGATAAAGCCCTCTGCATACCTGAGCTCCTCAAGATTGAACTCTGGGGTGACAAAGGCTCCAGTCATCCTGATTTCTTTCTACCATCTCCTGGCTTTCAGGCAGTGAGTGGGTGGACCTGACCCCAGTAATTGTTCCAATGATTTTAAAGCCATTTATATGAAAGCATTTAACTCACCTACGCAGAGACAGCAGCTATAGTGGATACACACCTTTATATTTTCCATGTCAAGCTAACGGGAAGGAAACTAACACTTATTACGGAGCTTGTTATGGTGCTAGGCATTGGGTTAGGCCTTTTTGCTAATGTACAGGGAAAGCAATCATTAATTTTAGAAATTACAGAAAACACCACAAAATTCTGGTCCTAAAATAACTAGGTGTCTTCCTTTGATCAGATAATAAAATTATGCGAGATTTTCTGCCTCTCTTTCTGTCTTCACCACTAAAAAGTTCATATTCAAATGCAGTGTTCAGTCATCAATGTCTGCTTCTCCCAAGTCCTGGCCTGTTCACCACGCTTCCTCCTTATAGGTTGCTATGATTTGTCACATTTAGAGTAGCTTGTCATATGTCTGACTTTTCTGCACATTGACTCAAACCCTTTTTAGACAATGTTACATATATCACATTAAAAGCAAATTACACTAGGTATGGTGGCAGAGACTGGTAATAGGACTGTTACAAGTTCAAGACCTGCCAGGGCCACATAGTGACTTCCAGCCAGCCTGAGCTGCAGCGAGTCCCTGTCTCAGAAACAGATAACAAAGTAAGTTCACAAGCATGTTCCAAGATTCCATTCAGTTTGACCTCATAATTATTTCACCATTAACCAGACATTTCCCTGCATTACCTCATGCTTTTCAATGACCACTTCATCGAAAACGTTGATATGTATATTGTCTTTTATTTTTGATAAAGTAGAGAAGCCATAATCATGTCCTGGTGAGCTGAAAACGAGAAAAGCACCCTTGAATGTTTAACTTTTTTTGTTTTTTTTTTTTTCAACATCCACATATTATCTAAGCACATCATTGATAAAGTCTAAGAAATTACCTATGATCTTTTCCTTTGTAAAGTTTAGACTTAGAAAAAAGCTATATATATGCCTTGAAGCCTGGCTTCTCCTTTTCATTAGAACAAATGTATGTATTATAATTAACCATATATTCCTCATAAAATGAAAATAAAAGAAGACAATGACACTGTCTTCTTTTTCGCCTGGAGATCATGTCAATCGAAATGAGTAAGCAGAGAAAGACAGTGCTTGGCACTGTATATCCTAAAGAGATGACTCAGCTGGGCGTTGGTGGTGCACGCCTTTAATCCCAGCACTCGGGAGGCAGAGGCAGGTGGATCTCTGTGAGTTCGAGGCCAGCCTGGTCTCCAGAGCGAGTGCCAGGATAGGCTCCAAAGCTATACAGAGCAACCCTGTCCCCTGTCTCGAAAAACCAAAAAAAAAAAAAAAAAAAAAAAAAAAAAAGAGAGAAGACTCATTGAGATGACCAAGAGTCCAGACAGTCCATTTTGGATTTACAATTCCCAGAGCAGCCGGTGATCACCACATTACACCAGTGTGTAACACCATTCTTTAGTCTTTAGTTCTGTGCAATGACTAATGTAAAACATGGGCATCGCCGTGGGGCTTAGCTTGTAGAAAAGTAGTTTGCCTCACTGAAGAAAATTCCTCCATTAGTTCCAGGAGGCCAGGCCAACTGAGATGTCCTGGCAGCAGATAAAAAGGAAATACTTGCCCGGGTTGATGGTGGCCCTGCCCATCATGCAGCCTTCCTGCTCCTGGTCTCTCTCTACAACTCTCCCTGCCTTTAAGAGACCTTTGTATCCCTGAGGTTCCCAAGGTAGAGCTTTGATGATGACAGCTCCCCATCCCAGGATGCCCACAACCTGAGGTTCTAGCTACTGGCTTCTGTGTGACAAGCAGCCCAGCCCCTTGTCTGGTAATATTTTTACTTCTTACTGTACAATTGCTACTGCTACTGATGTTGTTAAAGCCTTTTCTTGTTTTGTTTTGTTTTGAAGCAAGTACCCCTTCAGGGAGCCTCCAATGATGCCTATACTTTTCTGATAATGGGTGCTGGCCGTGACCACCGAAAAACACTATTTGAGTTCCTTGACGATTTTAAATTGAATACTCCTTATATTTCCAAGACATAAAATGAGCTAATTCTACTTTGTTCCTCTGAGGTTTCATTTCATGGTAGGAATGTCCAGGCCAAGGCAGGGGAGGCTATGTATATTTACAGCACTCTACTAGCACAAGACAGGACAGAAATCACTCACTTCAAGACACTTTTCAGTTTGTCCATTTGGTATACCTCTAATTACCAAGTCCTTTGCATTATCTTACATTATATAGTCTATTCAAACTTGCCTCAAATTTGCCACAATTCCTCCTCCAAAGTGAAACTCACTAATTATTCTTTATTTACTGTCACTAAACGTTACATTTCCATGTGGGCCTTTTTTCCCCTTTTCCAAGAATTGAACCCAGAGCCTCGTGCATACTAGGCAAATACTGTACCGCTCTACAGTCCTGCATATAGTTTTTATCATCAGAATGTCACAGGGAACAAGGAGTTAGAACAGAATCTTCTATTACAGACAACAAAAAAATCATAGTTGGATCCTTATGCAACTGTCATGGCACAGGTGTTGAGTTCACATGGGTCCATGGAAAGAAGACTCAGAGGCACCTTAAGAAGGACTTCAGCTTCTCTGGGAGAAGGGGAAGGGGCAGGATCTCTTGAGCTAATTGGGAGCATGAGGGTAGGGGAGAGGGAGCTGCCAGACTGAGAGGAGGGGAAGAGGAGGGAAGAGGAGGAAATGGATGAGCAGGAAGGTTGAGTAGGGGAAGAATAGAGGAGAGCAGGATGAGAGATACCATAACAGAGGGAGCCATTATAGGTTCAAGGAGAGATCTGGCTCTAGGAGATCTCCAGAGATCTCCAAGGATGACACCAATTGACAATCTAGGCAATGGTGGAGAGGCTACCCTAAATGCCCTTCCCCTATAATGATACTGATGACTGCCTTATATGCTATCCTAGAGCCCTTATCCAGTGGCTGATGGAAGCAGAGGCAAACACCCACAGACATACACTGAACACTCTGGAACCTAGTTGCAGAGAGGGAGGAGTGAAGAGCAAAGAGGTCGGGACCAGGCTGGTGAAACCCACAGAATCAGCTGGCCTGAACAAGGGAGAGCACATGGACCCCAGCACATGATGTCTGGGAGGCCAGCACGGGACTGATCCAGACCCCTCAACGTTGATGTCATGGAGGAGGCCTCGGCACTCTATGGGGCCCCTGGTAGTAGATCAGTATTTACCCCTGGCATAAGAAGGGATTTTGTGAGCCCATCCCATATGGAGGGATGCTCTCTCAGCATGGACACATGGGGGAGGGCCTAGGCCTTGGGCAGGATGATATGACAGACTTTGGGGAACCCCCATGGAGAGCCTTACCCTCCCTGGGGAGCAGAGGGAAGAATGAGATGGGGGTTGGTGGGGGGTTGGGAGGAGGAGAGAGAGAGGGAGAAGGGATTGACATGTGAAGCAGCCTTGTTTCTAATTTGAACTAATAAAAAAATAATCTCTTGGGAAAAAAAAAAAAAAGAGTGACTTTGGCCTTTCTAGGTTGCAAGGGGATCCAGCCTCTAAGGACTGAACCACTTTCCCTTTGCCCAGAGCTTCTTTTATTGTTCTCCAATTTACACCTTAGCAAATTGATTTCTATAGCCTCAAAACATCCTGAGGAAGCTTCCAAAGGGACCATGCCAAGTACAAATTCTCCATTCAAGAAACCCACCAACCAAGTTTTGCATAGGCTTTGTATCCTTGGGCAACTCTCAGGCAAGATTCACATAGATAACAAGGGAAACAAAAGATATTTGCTAAACAAAGGATGGATTAGAGCTAGGTGCTAGCCCAGGGGGAATGCTGCCACAGGTGACTTACTGGTTCCCATGGCATTTTTGGCTTATCTCATAGAACCACAAATTTGTCAGTATTCTATGTTAGTATATTATTCTATTTAGTTTACTTACAAATTTATCTTTCTTACTGATCCTTTTTTGTTCTCCTAATCAGATTACTTTAATGTAGTGTATAAGGGCATACTGGCACGTGACTATAATCCAAGCACTCAGAGTGCTCAGGGAGAAGGAACAGGAATTCAAGGCCAGCCTCATCTATACAGTGAAGCCTAGGCCAGTCTGGGCTACATGGCAAGACCTTAACAAACAAATGACCCCAAAGAATAAACTCCAAACTCTAATGCATAAATTAATAATCCAAGTATTTTCAAACACACATGATCATCTATGCTACTTTACAAACTTTTCCAGCAAAGGCCCGCCCCCCCCCCCCCCCCCCCCCCCCCCCCCCCTTCACGCTTTCTCTCATATATCCTGGTAGGTGTCTGGTAGCTTTCACTTTGAGAAAGGAATCTTTGGTAAGGAAGCCCAGATAGCCTTCACAATGGTACCATAGAAAGCATGTAGGAATGTTATGACAGTTCTTCCGTGTTTCCATGTTTGTCAACATGGGAGCCAGATAAAACATATAAATAATATAAAATCGTATAAATAATCACATATAAATAATGATTATAATGTCATTGGTCTATGAAATGATACAAAATATTCATTAAAATGATACTACACTATAGGAATAAAAATTCAATTTTCCCACTCCTCAAAATCAAGTTATATTGTTAGACCCCCGAAAACTCAATTATTCGGGGTCCCAGGCCACGTTCGCGGTCACCCCAATCATCAGGCAGATTCGAGAGCTTGCTGCAAACTGCACGAGGCTTTATTGTAATTAATGAGCTAACCCCAAGTTAGCTCGGGTCTTTCATCCACCCACCATGGCAGATGGCTAGGAAAGACAGCTTGAAGCATCTGCATAGAGATCTTATAGGACAGCATAAGGGGAGAGTCTAGGGGTACACACAGGCTCACGATTGGTGTGCCTCCAGGCTTGGAGGGCTTGCCCTGTGTTGATTGGTCAACTGGTTGTTATGGCTCATAGGCCCTCCCACGGTGGTTGCTATGCTCTCTACGTCATTGCTGTGCGCTTGTCCGTAAAGCACACCCAGAGTCGTAAAGCATAGCGCCACCAGCTGACTTCTGATTGGCTCCTTGTCACGAGACAGGCATCTGACTTTCTAGTGACTAGGTCAAGGTCATAGAAGCACATGTTCGGCTGTTATGGCTGCCAAAAGGGAAGCTGATTTCTTCAATATTATTTGAAAAATAGACTCTCGATCATGAAGAAAACAGGTAAATGTGTGCCTAGCAGTAAAGCACAGCAATATCAGAGAAAGTAGACATCGAGTTTGACCTATTTCTATTGGGTCATGTGTGGGGTGCCTCTAGACAAACTTAGTTATGGGGTTATTCGAGCCCATATTCATTTTTTCCTCTTTGAAGTAACCAGAAACACGGGGACATGTTTCTTCTGGAAGTTGAAATCTGATTTATTAACTTTGATTAAAATGTCTTTTACATGCAGGAATCTTGTAGGGAATGTGATTTTACTCATTCTTAACAAAAATATAAGTAATCTAAAACATTAATATAAACCACTACAAGTTTTAAAGGAAGGAAAGCAAAGGATATCCGCTAATGATTAAGTACATACATGTTGTACAATCTTGATAGATGCAGAATTACTAGGCCCTGCCCTAAACCTACAAACTTAGAAACTGATAAGGTAGATTCAGACAGCTATGTTTAAGAAGCTGTCTAGGGGACTATAACAACACTGTTTGCAAAGACAAAAAAATAGTGTGTGTGTGTGGGGGGGAGGCAATAAAACAAGAAAGGGTTAAGTAACCATGGTGTTTTCACTCAATAGTAGACTATATAGAAGTTCAAATAAAGGGGGAAAAAGTGTCTTAGTCTATTTAATGCTGCAATTCCAGAACACCTGAGGCAAGGTAGCTTGTAAAGAATAGACTTTTCTCTTTAACAAGAGAAGCTGGGAAAACAGAACCTATGCACTATCTGCTACGGGTCTTCTTATAGCTCAAGAGAGAAACCCACCTCTACAAGCCCACCCCCCCTTTCTATAACGGTATTAATTCATTGATAAGGGCTGGTGAGTACTAGGACAATGAGGTACCATGTGTTCTATAATGATATCCTTGGAATTGAAACATTTCCATCCCAGAGGGAGGCTGCTTAAGACTTGCGCGGTAAACTACTCACAATCCTCAGGAAGTCCCTGAACCTTACTAGATATAAGCTGTGAGGACTGCTGAGGAGAGCAGACTCTGACCCATCCAGCTGCCTGCAGGTTCTGCAGAACACTCGGACTGCTGTTTTCCTGAGTCGGCATCCAGGCTGGGGTGGGTTTTCTGGTGAATCATGCATGCTTCTGTAAGCCCTCACCTATATATACTCTAGTCAGTAGCTACAAGTACACTCATTGATTGGTTTGCAAAGTTGGATTTTGGTAGAATTATTTCTTTGGCCTGTCATTGGTTCCTTATCTGGGGTGATCAGATCTTTATCTGTGCCTCCGTACATGAAGCCTCACACAACACTCCCTCCCAAGGAAGAGGTAGGCAGTTCCTGTCTCCACATGTACACTCACCCAAGCATACATGAGCATGCTCCCTCATCACAGAATTACTCTGACTGGAAACTGCAGGAAGATGGACTCCAACTTACATAAAATCTACTTTGATTTCTTCATTCCAGCACGGGTGAGATCCGCTCGCTGTGTTAGTTTGATATACAGTGTGTTGAAAGGAAACTTCAATGAAAGGGTGCACAGTATCCTGAAATGCAGAGTAAACACTGACTGGATTTTTGTGATACCTCACATGATGGAGAGAAGCAAAAGGTTGGGAGATTATTTGGCCACCGGTTTCCTTGCTTAGCCATTAATTTAATGAACATTTATTGGTCTTATTTGATGCCAGGCCCTCTTCAAAGATCCAAAGACAAATAGACTTTTTCCATAAAGTTTGCCAGGGAAAAATAAGCAGGAAAGCAAGTAAGTGCCGTAAGATGTGAGCAATACAGCAGGAGAACCAGTTAACTTGCAGCTGTGGGTTTCAGGAAAGGGTATGGGTGTGTTTCTGGGGTGAAGACCAGATGAGCATTACAAAGGAAATCCTGCTTGAGCTCAGGCTTTGAAACACTGCTATGCTTATCTGGCTAAGAGCATGGAGATGGGCGGAGGCCATTCCCAGCAAAAGGAACAACTACTGGATGTCAAGACAGCATGGCTGTGCAGTGGACAGACATGAGAACAGCTGGCAGAAAAAGAGCTAGACTACCTAACATTCTGTGTATGAATGAGGAGCTTATACCTTGTTCTATAGGGCCTGGGAGCAGAGAATGAGATGATATGAGTTACATTCATAAATGATACCTTTCTTTTGTTAAAGGAAAATAACTGAAATCTGAAGAATATAGATATGGAGAGACCACTTGGGAGCCAGATGCAACTGAGAACAATCAGCCAATATTGGACTTTATAAAATGTTAAATACCTCATTTAAGAAGTCACTTGAGGCTACGAATTTGATTGCTTCTTGATGTCTGCGATGAACCATGGATGACCTCGAGTAAGTAGCCATACCCAAAGTTCTTCAGGAAAAACAACATGGAGACATAGTTTTAACATTAGTGATGGTAAACATGAGGATTACCCTGGGCCTTACAGAGTTTTTTGTTTTGTTTTGTTTTGTTTTGTTTTGTTTTGTTTTGTCATATCATGTTGGCAGTTATCACTGCTTTGGGGAAGTGGCTTTTAACTGCTGAAATACAGGCTGGATCTAGTCTGTGGTAACCTGCCCCCTGATTTTCAGCACCAAGGGGAAAATGAGCCAAGAGATATTTGGGGAATATAGCCTTCCTACTTTGTTTTTGGTGTTAGAAAATTTTCTTCTGCAGAATGATAGCTATAGAAAATAACAGCAATTTTATGTCCTTTCTCCACAAACAGTCTTAAGATTTGCATTGGTTGGTTGTGAAAATAATTAGTTGTGTCAAGGAATAAGGGTGTGGTTCATAAAACAAAGTCCAAAACCTTTAAAAGGTTTTAAATACAAATTAACAGCCAGTAAGAAAAATGTCTGTTTTTCACAGATAGAATCCATGGGTTGTATTAAGCTGAAAGAAAACAAGCAGAATACCTACCTATATGGTAAACAAGGAAGAGGAAATACATGATATTCCTGGGGCATTTGGGTAGTAATATTCATATTTATCAACCACCCTTGACCCTAAATATTTAGGATACATTTAATGAAATCAGTACTTAATATTTACAAGGCCTTACTTTGACCAGCCTTTAGTAGGTAATGTCTATTTTGGTCCCACGAAATGCAAATAAAATACACTCAGTGCATACAGGAAAGATAGGTGAAGTCCCACTTTGGTAGTTACCTACAGACACTAAGCAGAACAGGCTGTACTTGCAGTGACTCTGACCACACGGGCCTTTCCACATTTGAAAACTTCCTGAAGTCCCATCTACTTTCCCATCTTTCTGCTTCCGACACTCAGGGCCCACCCCTGTGACGGCGACTGAAGTGGCTGGCCACAGAAACTTCAAAAACTCACAGTAGGCAACAGGAAAAAGAATTCACTTGGTGGCATGGAAGATGTGGCAAATACCTCCACAGCATACACTAAGGTTACTTTGGGAATCTCACACCCCCGAAATGTTTTACTTTGCCTCTGAGCTACTACAGAAACCTTTAATATGTGATATCGAGAATAGGTTTGACTAACCAAATGAGGGGTTAAACGCTTACTCATTTTATGCATGTGATTTGTATGTAAGGGTGTGTGTGTGTGTGTGTGTGTGTGTGTGTGTGTGTGTGTGTGTGTAGACATTAAAACCACAGCATTGCACGTGCTAGGCAAGTGCTCTATCAATAAGCTACATCTCCAGGCATTATGCACTAAAACATTAGTGAAATGCACGGTTTCACAGATGAAGTAATAACGATGTTTAGTACATTGAAGGGAGATCTTCTGCAACTGCAGACATTGGAGCCCATTACCTTACCTATGAGATATTTTTTTTCTGGTAGGAATGTTGTAGGCCCTCAGGATCCTGACCAGAATCTTGATATCTCCGTCAGAGACAGTCTGTGCTGTGACTTTCCTTCTTTCTTTCCTCTGAGGCTTTAGCTTCCTTCGTGGTTCAATGAACTTACAAATCACATCCGTCAACTGGCTAAAGAGTAAAAAGTGATCAGCTCTCTATATACAAAATAACACTTTTAAATATACTTATGTTCTCTTTAGGTTTGGGCGGAACATTCTATAGATGTCTGCTAATCCTGGCACATGAGCTAGCTTGTTGGAGCCCATTCCCTATGGTGGGATGCCATGCTCAGCCTTAATGCATGGGAGAGGGGCTTGGTCCTACTCCAACTTAATGTGCCAGACTTTATTGACTCCTCATGGGAGCCCTTCCCTGGGAGGAGGAGTGGATGGGGGGGGGGGGAGGGCGGGGGGGGGCGGGGGGGGGGGGGGGGGGGGGGGTGCAGGCTGAGGGGGGCAGGAGGAGGAGTGGGAGGGAGAACTGAGGTTGGAATATAAAATGAAACTTTAAAAACTAAATAAATCATAAGAAAGAAATTAGGGAGACTAAAGATCTGGTAAATACATCATGACTCAAAAACAAACAAACAAATAAATACACTATGGTTTAAAATAATTGCTAATAATGTCATTATTCTGAACCATATTGTGTCCATTATGGAAGAGGACAGAGCTATTTTCAACCCCAAGTAGACATCATTCCCCGAGCCTGGAGAGGAAGCAGTGGTAGTTCCATCAGGCTGGGAGGGCATATAATTGCACCAGATCTTTGGTTGCACACTCTAAAGAGAAACCCAAAGCAGTAAGATAAAGCCATAAAACATTTATCTTTCACCACAACTATTATTATGTTTAAAAGCAAGGAGTCTCTTGAAAATGAGTGACTATCCCAGTAGTCTCATTTGCCCTGAATCAGATATTTGCCCATGCTAACAACCTAAATCCACAGAATTATAGTTGGATAGTCATAGCAGTTTCTGCTCAAGGTCTGAAAATACAAGGCAGTGGATTTCAGTATCCCACAGCAACCAGAACCTTACTGGTGATTCTGGGAATTTGCATGCAGCCTCTGGAGGGGATTAGACTCTGTCCGGACTCTCCCTTTGGGCTTCACAATGGGTGCTGGAGAATGGCGATAACCCAGTAAGGCTCTATCACCTGCCCCTGTGCAGCTCAGTGCCCTCACACCACTGAGTCGGTGTGGGATATTGAGTTGCACTGTGAAACCCCAAGAATGTGTTAATAAAATCAACCTTAGAGCCGGGCAGTGGTGGTTCATGCCTTTAATCCCAGCACTCGGGAGGCAGAGGCAGGTGGATCTGTGTGAGTTCGAGATGGTAGTTAAAACATCCATTAAGCCAACAACAACACTGAGGAGTCTGGGGTTTGCAGACGGAGGGGATGGGGTTATTGTGTTGCTACCAACCCTGGCTCATCTAGAAGCAGTCTTCCAAGAAAACCTCAGAACAACAAAAGAAATGGGACAGAGATGTTCTTTTCTTTTTCTATCTTGCCCTAGACCACCCAAAATAGAGAGAAAAGCCAACCTCCTCTAAAGTACTGTACAACTACAATAATGTCAGGTAAATGACCTAAAGTGGCCAAATGTGTTTTCTCACCAAACATTACTCTACATTCTGAAACTGCAGTGTTATGGGATACTTGATAGCACTGTGACACCCTGAGACTATGTTAGTAAAATTAGCCTTGAATAAGGGGGTGGGGCCAGTGACTATCAGAATGGAATTAGCTACAGGGAATCCAGGAATATGGATAGAGAAGATGCACAGGAAGGAGTAGGGAGGGACTTAAAAATATCGCGCTCTTTAATCTAGGAAGTGGGGAGAAAACGTCAATTGGCGGCTCCTCTGCCGTTTCTTTGACCTGTTAGGTTTTCACCCCAACACTTGACTCCCAAGTCTTCATTGGTAATAGAACAGCTTAGATAAACACACCATCTGGCATCCACTGCGTGACCAGCCACCACTTCTGCTGCCACAGCTTCTCCCAGCCCCACCCCCAGCCCTCCCTGCAGGTCATGGACTTTTCCCTTCATGGTCCCCCTGTTTCTGCTCCACAGACAGAGGCCACACCCACCAGCCACATGAAACCCATTTGCACTACAACACCAGCTTGGGCTTCTGCTGCCACTAATCCTCTACAGGTGCACACTAGACACTTCTGCAGAGCAGCCACTCACTCCAGCACCCACTGTGCCAGCCTGCTGGCTGGACAGCCTGCTGCCCCCTCCCCCCGCCCCCGCCCCCAGAGTCCCAGGTACCACCACTGCATCTGGCTGCCCCACGCAGCTCTGCCATCACGGCTGCTGCTGCTGCTGTGGACAAACTGAAAAGTTACCGGAACTGGCGAGACACTGGTAAGTCCTTAAGGGAGAGTTAAGTAATATTGACTCTCTCCCAAATTAAGAATGAAGAAGATCACAATGCAGGTAATTAGGACTATATAGTGCCACAATGGGTGGCTTGAAAATAAAAAAATAAAAAAATAAATAAATGAATAACTGACTTAGCTGGGATTGACATAACGTCAGTTGAAATTACTACCAGTTTGGCAATTCATATTTTTATCCTTTAAAAAGTGTTTTGGTCACTGTGCCAATATAAAAAAAAATTGATAAGATACGAGGCCTAGAAAGACCTGCTAATGCAAATAAGAAAATATTCAGACACAGACAGGAATTTAGACCAGAGCCTACCATACCACCGCATGTTGAAACTGAAGAGGAGTGACCCAAGGTTGTTAGAAAACCAATCTTAGTTTATCCAATTACTATACAAGAATGACCAGCAGATAATAGGCACCCCCAACATTACGCAGAAGTTTCCTCAATCTATAATTTACCATTGTGTGGTTGGTATCTTACTAGCTGACTCAGATACAGATACTTTAGAAAAAAATGTTTGATGAAGTGAAGAGAATTTTGTTGGGGATTACAAATTACTCCTGAAAAAACACAAAGATCCTATTAATTACCTAGGATATAAAATAGATTTACAGAAAATTCAACCACAGAAAGCACAAGCCAGGAGAGATCAATTATGAATTCTTCATTAATTTTCAAATTTTTCTGGGAGATACTAAGTGGCTATGGCCCACAGTTGGATTAACAAGAAGTAAGTAACTTATGTCAAAACTTACAAGGTGATAAGGACTTAAATAGTCCAGGAAAACTATCAGCTGAGGCAGAGAGAAAATTAGTTCTGGATGCACATGTGGTCTCTTGAATCCAGAGCTTGATTGTATTCTGGTTATTTTACTTTCTACTCATTTTCCCATAGGAATTTCTTATGCAGAGAGAAGATAACATCTTAGAATGGATATTTTTGCTACACAGAGTAAAAAAAAAATAAAGATCTATGTAGAAAGGTTTCTGAATTGACTCTGAAAGGAAAATCGAGACTTCCTCAATTAGCAGGAATAGACCCAACAGAAATTGTAGTATTTTTTAACTAATGCTGAAATTTCCTCATTATGGGCAAAAAGTGAGCATTGGCAAAGTGATGTTTTTGGGAGAGATCAACAACAAATATCCCCCGGAAAACTCAGGTATCCGGAGTCCCAGGCCATGACTGCGGTCACCCCAATCACCAGGCGGATTCGAGAGCTTGCTGCAAACTGCACGAGGCTTTATTGTAATTTAACTCTATACCCCATTTTAGCTCGGGTCTTTCCCCCATCCGCCATGGCGGATGGCTAGAAAAGACGGCTCCTAGGGCCTCCCAAGAGATCTTATAGGACAGCGTAAGGGGAGTGTCTAGGGGTACACACAGGCTCAGGGTTGGTGTGCCTCCAGGCTTGGAGGGCTTGCCCTGTGTTGATTGGTCAACTGGTTGTTATGGCCCATAGGCCCTCCCAGGGTGGTTGCTATGCTTTGTGCGTCATTGCTGTGTGCTTGTCTGTAAAGCACACCCAGAGTCATAAAGCATAGCACCACCAGCTAACTTCTGATTGGTTCCTTGTCACGAGGCAGGCATCTGACTTTCTAGTGACTAACTTCTGATGGGTTCCTTGTCACGAGACAGGCATCTGACCTCTAAGTGACCAAGGCAGGTTTATGGCAAGCATGTGTTCGGCTGTTATGGCTGCCAAAAGGGGAGCAGGTCCCTTCAAGATACTTCAGTATATAAAAAGAAATAATTGGATTCTCCCTCATATAATAAAGGGGATACCAATTTATGGAGCTCTTACATTCTATACTGATAAAAATAAATCAGGAAAGGCAGGTTATAAATCAGGAAAATTAAGTAAAATGGCTCAAAGCCCTTAAGATTCAGTTTAAACATCCATGGGAGAATTCCTACTGGGCTACACCTGGTCTGGCTCCAGAGTGCAAGCACCTAGCCCTAATCCATCTTTTGTTTAGCAGACACCTTTTGTTTCCTTTCTGCCCTATATGTGAATCTTGCCTGAGAGTTCCCCAAAGGTGCAAAGCCTAAGCAAAACTTGATTAGAAAACTGAAAACTGTGGTATTTTCTTATGGAGAATTTGCACTTGGCATTGTCCCTTCGGAAGCTTTCTCAGGGTGTTTTGAGGATATGAAAATCAACTTTTTAAGGTGTAAATTAGGGAGCAATAAAAGAGGCCCTTGGCTAAGGAAAGCGAATCAGTCCTTAGAGAGGGATCCTCCTTGCAGTTGAAAAGGCCCAGTTCATTCTTAAGGTGCCTCTGAGTCTTCTTTCCCTGGACCCGCATGAACCCACACCCCTATCACAACAAAAATGAGAATTATATGCTATTTTCATGGTATTATTAGATTTTTCAGAATCTTAATGAAAGGTTCAGGCATTGTACTGGCCTGCCCCTGTTACCTGGTAGAACAGGCAGTACCCTGGTCAGCCCAAGGTTCCATGGGAACTAAGTCTGCACGCAGGTGCAGAGGACCCCTTTAAAAGACAAGTCTCTGCCCCTTTATGCTCTCTGTTCCCTCTCTCTGTTTCCCCGCTCTGCTTTGTCTGCTTTCTCTCTACTCTGTCTCCCACCTATGCTCTCCCTATGGCGACCCACCATGGCGGTCAGCCACTTACCCCTGTTCCTCTTCTCTTAGTCTCCCTACTCTGCCGGGCCATATAATAAACATGTCTTATGTCTCATGTCTCAGCATTTCTCCCTTTTCTTCTTTTTAAACAAAACAATAACACTTTTAACATAGTTACTGTCCTTCAATATGAAGAAAGAGTTGTATGTATGGACACCATAAACTTATTCCAGATAATTCAGAAATAATTTTGTTATTTATTCAATTACAACAAATAATCAGAAATAGAAATAACTTCTGTATATAACACATATCAGATCTCAAATGGTCTACCAGGCCCTCCAGCACAAGGTAATGATGAAATTAATCAGCTATTGGTAGGAAATGCGCTAGAAGCCCTAGAATTTCATAATAAACACCATGTTAATAGCAAAGATTTGAAGACAGATTCTTCTACCATTTGACAACAAGCCAAGGAAACTATAAGGAAATGTCCTATTTGTTCTCTGTGTAACCAAACTCTACTACCTGCAGGGAGTAACCCAAAGGGTATTCAAAAAATGAAATTTAGCAAATGGATGTGTTTCATTTTGCAGAGTTTGGAAAATTAAAGTGTGTGCACCATACCATAGATACATACTCAGGACTTCAATGGGCAATTGTTTTAAGATCTGAAAAGGCTGACTCTGCAATTACACATTTATTAGAAGTTATGGCAATTATGAGAATACCTGTACAAATTAAGAGTAACAGTGCTCTAGCACTGTTTTTGAATGTTACAACATAAAGCATGTTATAGGTATACCACACAATCTTACAGGACAAGCAGTTACAGAAAGATCTAATCCCACTTTAAAGGATATGCTTAATAAATAGTAAGGGGTAATAATGAAGACCCCCACCCCCAGAGATAGATTGCATAGTACTTTAATAACTTCATTATTTTTTAAACACTAACGAGAAAGGAATGACAGTTGTGGAGAGACATTGGAAAATAGAAAAAAATAAAAGACTTGCTGAATTAAATCAACCTGTATATTTTAAAGATGTGTTGATGTCAGAATGGAAACCCAGATATGTATTATGTTGGGGGAGAGGTTTTGCTTTTGCTTCCACAGCAAATGAAAAGCTATGGATTTCTTAAAAATTAATAAAGATCAAATTTGACTGGGAGAAGGACCCTGAAAATCTTAGCTTCAGCTATAAAGGAAGAAACCAAGAAAAAAGGTGACATGTAAGCTGATCCCTTGACATGGGGATGGCTTTGAGAATGGAGGAGATAGGATAAATCTTGTTGGCTACAGAGTCCTCATGACTTATTATTAAATGCCATCCTTTCATATGGCATGAATGGAGATTTATTTTGCAGTTTGGTTATGCAGTCCAAAGGGGCTTATAAAGTGGACAGATGCTTTTTTACCTCAAACATAGCCCAGGTGAACCAGCCTCTCAGAATGTCTCTATTGAAGTTTCCTCAAAAATCTGCATCCAGACAAGGATGGCTAGCTGAGATGGTCCAGCCTCACATATGTCTCCAGTCAGGACTTCAGATAAGCCCTGCACTTTTCCATCACACAGAGATTGAACAACAAATGACACAGCTAGCTCTCTCAAAACATGACCATTATCCCAATTTTCTCAGGGTCCCCTAAAGATGTTGTAGCCCCCCCAGACAACAGGAAGTAATTTTAAGAGCATGATGCCCACATTCCAGAGAGGTGGGGTGGGTGGTTTTTGGTTGTTCAGTGGGTTATGTATGTTTGACATTGTTTAGGGGAGTTAGTTCAAAGTTGTTATTGATCATGGTCAGGGAGAAAACTAAACAAAGGAAGTTGGATTAAGGGATTTTTTCCTTCCTTCCTTCCTTCCTTCCTTCCTTCCTTCCTTCCTTCCTTCCTTTCTTTCTTTCTCTTCTCCCTCCCTCTCTCCCTCTCCCGCCTCTCTTTTTCCACTATCTTTCTTTCTTTCATTTATGTGGGGAAAAAGGGAATATATAGGAATGATAAGATAAAAGGGTAGATTAGCTGGGCGTTGGTGGCGCACGCCTTTAATTCCAGCACTCAGGAGGCAGAGGCAGGCGAATCTCTGTGAGTTTGAGGCCAGCCTGGTTTTCAGAGCGAGTGCCAGGATAGGCTCCAAAGCTACACAGAGAAACCCTGTCTCAAAAAACAAAAAAAACAGAAAACAAAACAAAACAAAACAAAACAAAAAGGGTAGATTACTGAATCTACTAAAAGCAACTACTAGTCTCAAATATTTTTCATTGGTATAGATTTTTGTATACTGATACAAATTTAAGGTTATTTTTGTCACAGCATACTACATATGTGTTTCTACTCTTGTTTAAAGTATTGTACCTAAGCCGCTCATTTAAAAATGTAATGTAAAAGTCCTAGTCCTTGAAAGCTATTATTACAAACTGTTTAGGATAATTAAGAAATGTAGGTTATAGGCAAACATTAGTGCACGCCTTTAATCCCAGCACTCAGGGAGGCAGAGTCAGGTGAGTCTTTCTGAGTTCTAGGCCAGTCTGGTCTACAGAGTGAGTTCCTGGACAGCCACAGCTACATAGAGAAATCCTGTTTCAAAAAAAACAGAACAAAACAAAAAAAAAATAGGAAATAAATAAATTAATGCAGGTTAGTAGTTAGTCATCTATTAACAATCAAACTTATACTTATGTTAGGTATGTTTTCAAGGTCGAATATATATTTTTAGATAGACAGGTGATCCTCAAAAACATCAGAGATCTTCAGAATATGGCATATAAGATGTTTTAATAACATAAGGTTTTTCATGACAGTGAGACATGTCTCCTCCTGGCAGCACCAATTTACTTCAAAAAAAGAATGATGGGTGCTGAGGAATCTTCATATAGAGTTTGTTTTCACTGTGGCAAAGTTAGCCACTGGGCAGGAAAATGCCCTTGCCTTGATTTCTGACAGTATGCTGTCCAAATTGCACAAGCAGGACACAAAAGAAGGCAACTGATGGACTTTTTGAGACAAGGTAGGACAGTTCTTCAAATCCCTACTTCACAGATAGTCAGATATTCTAGACCTGCAGGCTAAAGATACATGCCTTTCTCTGTTATTTCTGTATTTTTGGAAGTTGTTTGCACTGCACTTCCTATTTACTCAGGTAATATTTTATCCTTCTTGGGGCTCTGATGGGGGTGAATACAATATTTATACCATTTTCTTTGTTGCCAAATTAAGAAAAGAAATCTAGCGAAAAAGCTGTAAAGTTTATAAGGTTTAGAGACATCAAAGCTTAAGTTGTTATTCTAAGAAAATGGCTTAAGGTCTAAAAGGATATTTTTGACTGGTAATACAAGTTATGATAGAAAGTGATTTAGATATAAAATTTTGGATTCATCAAGATAGACTAGATATAATAGAGTAATTTATCTGTATTTGCCAAATACAAGTGGACTAGACATTGTGAATATAATTCTTACCTGATAATTGTTTTTATTTTATATGGTTTTACTGTATTAGAGCTAAAACCTTTCCTTTTTATTTAGACAATACTAAATACTTGTTCTTATTGTATATAGTTTTACTGTATTAGAGTTAAATCCTTTCCTTTTCATTTAGACAATACTTGGTAATTGTTCTTATTGTATATAGTCTTACCGTGCCAGAGTTAAAACCTTTCCTTTTTATTTAGATTAAAAGGGGGAAATGTTGTGGGATATTTGATCACACTGTGACACTCTGAGACTGTGTTAATAAAGTTAACTTTGGATGGGGGGTGGGAGCCAGTGACTATCTGACCGGAATTAGTCATAGAGAAGACTGGAATATGGATAGAGAAGATGCAGAGGAAGGAGTAGGAGGAACTTAGAGATTTCAGTCTCTTTGCTGTGGAATGTGTGGAGGGAAGGTCAACTAGTGGCTCCTCCCCTGTTTCTTTGATCTGCTAGGTTTTCACCCTGATATTTAGATAATAGAATAACTTAGATAAACACATCACTGCAGTCTAGACATGTGACATAATTTTTAGAAAATACAGAGAACCCAGAGGATTCTGAAGATAGTAGTTAAGGCTTTACTTTCACATTTAGGAATTCTAAAGTACCTGGTAGATACAATTTCTTCATAGTCAGCCACAATATCTGACAAGTTAAATTTGCTGACTTTGATGATTCTTTTCATTATCAAACTTCTCACCTAAGGAAAAACCCAGAAGTTAAAAGAAGAGGAGTGTTTCTGTTTTAAGGCTATTGTTTACAATGCTTCTGGTGCGCTGTGTATTCAACCCCCTCAATTTTTCAAGCAGAGAGAGGGAAGGGCGTTAGGTAAGCGGGACTATGGCTATTTCTGCTGTTATTAAAACCATCAGTTATGTTAAGAGCACATTCCTTCTACACCCTTTCCTTTCTCCTTCCTTTCATCTCATCCAAACCCCTGCTCAGTTTTCCACCTAACTCATTGTCTGTGGTGCCAGAACGAGTCTTTGCAAAGCAAAACGACACTCCTGGGCGCTCCTAGTGACCAAAATGAATCACCTGACCCACAGACCAGATGACCTGCACTTGTGTTTCCCTCCAGCCCAACCTATGCCAACTGTAAGTCCCTCTTCCACCAAGTGGCAAGAGAGTCACTGCTGCTGCTATAAACCTTGATTTTCTTCTTTTTTAAAATTTGAGTCAGGGTCTCAGTCTACAGCACAGCCTGGCATACTCTTAAGTGGCCCAGGTTGTCCTTGAACTTGCAATCCTCACTCAACCTCCTAAGTGCCGAATTACAGTTATGTACCACTATACCTGGATCAAGTCTCTATTCTTCTAAAGACTACAGTCATCTCAGGAAACTCTTCCCTCTCCGAGAACTCTACTTAATGATAGGTTTATGCTTCCAGACATGTAACCAGAAAGTAGAGTGGGCAACCTCCAGCTTTCTGTCCTGCCACATAGCATTCTGGAGACGATGCAACTTAAAGCTTGGTCACCTGCTCGAATTGTTTAGGGAATGGAGTGGTGGCAGAGAAGGGACAAAATATCCTGCCACACAGGCAACAAACTGTCCCTTTGAAATTGAACCAGACCTCTCTTCCCACAGGAATTTTACTCTTTCATCTCCCTTGGCACCCTGTAGGACTGGGCTCCTTGCTGTTTCTCTCATAAGACAGGACAGGGTTCACTTGAGCTTTCAAACATGTAGATTTCTGTTACCTGAAATGTTATTTACAATTGTACCCCCTAAACACACACACACACACACACACACACACACACACACACTCACTCACTCACTCACACATGCACGTACACACACAAGAGAAAAAGACAGAGACAGACGAAGTTCAAATCCTCATTTTCTACTCTTTGCCCTAACATGTTGCATTCTCTCAGATATGATTTATTTTTGTTATAAGGCTTCTTCTAGAATATAAACTTCAGGAGGTCAGGACTCAAAGCAGATACTCAGTAACGGTCACTGAATAAACAAATTGAAGGACCATGCTGAAGAAATACACTAGCTTCTTAGATGCCATCATTTGAGCAAAACACTATCTATTGATCCTTGAGCCAGCTGGGACTGTATTCCCTACAGATACAGCCCCAGCCTTGGCTGCCACTGATGCCAATCCAACAGCAAAAATCTAATGCACACAACTCATGTCCCATTGAATTCATATAAAACTCAACAGCACACAGGAGACACTGACAGCCACACCAATGAGGCTAAGGGTTAAGAATCTATAGATCCAAGAAGTCTTTGGGGTAAACATTTTCCGCTGTCTGTAATTCCAGCATTATTATGTGAACCTGCCAAACTTGAAGGCTTAAACTAACCTCAGCTCACAGTCTTTACACACGCACACACGTTTACATCTAACTACACAGCACACAGCTGTCCTAAAGCTCCTTCCTAGGATTTGTTTACATCCTTCAGGCATCCTCAGCAATCACTCCCTCGGTAGGGCCAGCTCACCTCCCTCTTGGATGTAGCAGAAGGAATACAATGATATGAGTTCTTTTTCCTCAGGAGCAAGCGCATTTCTCTATTTTCCAATATGGCAAACTCATTATTAGAGCTTATCCCAAGCCTGGTTTTTAAAGTGCAGTGATAATTAGGATGACACTGTAACTTTCCTGCTCAAACAGAAGCTAGGTATGTGCTCTCACAGTGAGTTAGCTGGTGATGAAGTAAACTAACTGCAAAGGAAATCTGAAGAGAGTTGTCCATCCAGCTCTCTGCAAAGAGTATTTACACTGCACCCAGCAGAGGGGTTCTCACACCAGTAAATCACATGCATTGACAATATCAAAGTGTCATTACCTTTCTCAGAAAATTGACAGAATTAATCCTTTGTGCAGTGATAGAGTTCACATCTGAAATGGACATGTCCTTCTGAGCCTGACTTTCATACTCCTAAACAGAGAATTAGGTTAGTTTTGCCTGAATGTAATACGGGGATCAAATCCGGTGTGCTCCAACAAAAATACTGTAGTTTGTTTCTGTCCATGCCCGAGGATGCTGGCAAACACTGCTCAGAAGGAACCACCCTTGTTTGATTCTTTCACTGAGAACTGGCCCAAACCAGTTTATGACTGTATCCCATTTTCCTCTGGCATGAAGTTCATTGACTCCTTACTTGAATCAATTTCTTTAGTGTACACACATGCATGTGGAAGACGACTTGCTGGCTTGCTGGAGTGGGTTCCCTCCTCCTACCATGTGGGTCTCAGGGACCAAACTCAGATCGTCAAGCTTGGCAGCAGGTGCCTTTATCTTCTGAATCATTTGACAGGCCCACTGATCTTCTAAATGGTAGTGATGACCAAGAAAAATTGTCATTTTGAAGATGAGGAAAGTCATCGCTCTGCATTTCTTCTTTCCTCTCTGAGCCACACCTAAGGAGCATCCGTGACCCCCCTGACTGGGCTGTGAGCATGTTCCCACTACAACTGGAGTTTTACATATGATGAGTTCTGTGTAGCTTGTTTGTGTAGCTTCTAAGTAACCAAGAGGACATAAGAACCTAGTATTTTTATCCAAGATGGGCTCTCATCACCCTACAGCCGCAATTCCACTGGACGGGAGTTTCCTCAGAGATGGGAAGCAGTTGCTTTCCAACTATCTCTTAAAAGCTCCAATGGGGGGTTATGACAGTCGGCTATTTTCACAGCTGTCCTCTCTTACAATCCCCTCCCATGAGACTGTTGAGGTGCTGGTAAAATGTTTAAAAGCAGGTCCTCTTGAAGTAGGGAGAGAAGCTCTTATTGGAACATTTACTATTCCATGACACAAATACTCACCTGGCTGTAGATTGATGGCAGTCACCAGGAACTCCCAGAAGGTCTGGCTCAGATGGGACATGTGTAATGGACTGTCACTGACTGAGCTCAGCTGGCTGCAGCATGTAACCCAACAAGACCAGTGCTTCTCTTGTCTCATTTTCAGATTCTTAAGATCTGAATTGAGATATCTCCTACAACTAATATCTACATTCACCATGGTAGTGTTCCTTCCCTGGCTCCTCCCCCAGAACCTCTATAAAATTAGTGATATACTTTATGAAAACAAAAAAATATGCCAGCTAAATCAATCTGGAACATACCTAAAGGATTTGGGCTGTGAAGATGATTGGATAATATTACACTATAAAGTCAAGCTAAGGACATGATGGGACTTGGGTGATATGAACAATTTTAATACCTGTGCATTGATTATTAGTTACCAAAATTAATACAGAGATGAGGACATGTTTAAAGCAACAGGATGTCAACTCTGTCATACACTGAGCTTTGTGTGAATGGGAGCCAAGTACCTGGAAGACTATGTCTGGAATCTCTTTGTCATAGAGGGGCATCTGCTGCAGAAGGAAGAGGTCTAGCTGGCCCGCATTTCTCAGCTGCAACAGCTGGAAGCGTTTGCTCCTTTTCATTTCTTCCTCAGACACAAAGTTAAATTCATCTTGCAACTGCTCCAGACGGAAGTATTTTGGGATCTCCTGCCCTTTGTGTCTCAAATACTGCAAAGCACAAGCATGCAAAGTCTTTATTTAGGAAATTATTTTTAATTAAAGAATTATTTCAGAATACTATTTTCACCCCATCAACAGTGAGGTCTGTGGCAGTCTGAGTAGGATGGAGCAATGGGACCTGCAGAGTCATGTGACCTGTGGAAATACAGACTCTGACTGACTTACACAGTGCTTTCTACCTGTCAGATCAGGACTTACACAGAAAGAGAAAATGTCAATGCTGTATACAAACAAAGGCAGAAGGGGGCATATGAATGGACTATGAGTACCAGACCTGCAGGCTGGATATGACAGCCACTGTCAGTGTAAATATAAAGTGTGTTGAGAACATACAGAGCAGTTCAGTTGGCTGTAGGGAATAGGCACAAGTGACCAGATAATGGTGATAATGGTGTCTGAGTGCCAGCACACATTTTAAAGTCCTTTTGATGCATCACCTTCAGTACCTAATAATAAGATTGGCGTGTAACAGATGTTAGCCTAAAGGCAGCCTGCCAACCATCAGGTCTGAAGTCATGCTTTCCTAGCGCCTTTCCAATACTCTAAACTGACTGAGAATCATACATACCCTCAATTCTACTTTTACATGTACACTAAGTGTCCAGAAAAATGCACAGCAAATAATGGAGGAGTGTATGAGATACATATGAGGAAATAAAATATATTTATAGTGTTGACAGCTTCTAAAACTTACCATAATAAGTTCTGTTATATCTGAATACTCTGGGTCATTTGGATCAATCCTGATGTCATCTGCCCAGTCACAAAGCTTTTGTGAGTTCATGGGCCACGGGAGTCCAGGAACACCTCTGGCATCAACATTCCTTAACACACTAATGTGGAGAAAATACTTTGTGACTCTACATGCAACATGCTGGTTACACATTACACAGGCTAAAGCCCATCGTGGTAGGAACATGGAAGTGAACCTACCCACATCCTGTATTTAAGGATAAGACATAACTATCTTTATGACTGGTTGGTGTTCCTCACATTCTACTTTCACTCTAGCATTCTGGTAAGTGTCTTCTTAAAAGATAATACGCTTGCTGAAGATAAAACTCTACAGATACTCATCTATGCTGTCTCATTTTGCAAAGGAGCTGAAATGCAGTAGATTCTTAAGTGAATACTACTCTTTGGTTGTATTCCATAAATTCTAGACATAATAATGGGTTAACTATTTTATGTGATGCAGAATACTAATATTTCATCCAAATATTTGTTTGTGTGGGATCAAGAAAGCACACAACGTAAAACCTGAACCTAAGGGACTGGCGGCATGGTTCAGTGGGTCAAGGTGCCTGCTCCCAACCCTGATAACCTGAGCTCTATCCCTGGATCCCACATAGTCCAAGGACAGAACTCTTCTAAGTTGTCCTCTGACCTCTCTGCAGCATGCATGTGTGAATAAATGTGAAAATAAAATAATTGCACAAAACAAATAAATGTAAAAAAAATTTTCAAAACATTGACTTCAGGTTGTATTGTCATCATTGAAATATAACAAAAAGCAAAGTGATTAAGTAGGCAGTATAGGCTAAGAGAGTATCTTTGGTCATGAACAACCATCTTCAAACACTGGGGCTATAAAAATAAGCTAGATTCATGATATACCTTTAGTGACTTAGTTGTAGACTAAGAGAAAAAGAAGGCAATCCTAGAGTATGTGCTTGGAGTTGTCAATTAACTTGATGTCTTCATAGATAAGTTGATTAGAAGAATCTGGAATGGGTTTCTAAGATCTTTATTGTTGAGTCTCAAACCTGGGACAGATGGCTGAGGTCCCTATTTAACATGTCAAAGTGGGCTTGGCCATCAGGTTCTCCCAGCATCCCTCAGTCTACCTTTCCCCAGTCCCTATCTGTTACAGGGTGTGGCTGGCATATGCTGCCCCCACAACTCTCCAACACAGGCACTAGGCTGCCTTTCACCCAGCTGTCCTTCTCTATGTAATCCAGCCATTTTGGTTACCTGGCCCTTTACCCTACTGGCCTCTTGATTTCCAGCAATTCTCCTTTCCCCTCCCCCTCTCTCCTCACATGGCTTAAGGTCTTCTCCACTCTGGACTCCATCAGATGTCCCTGCTCTGCCTATGCTCTCCCTCACATCTACAATAAACCTTCTCCTCCACTATACGTAAAAACAGTCACGTCCTCCTTTTTCATTTCTTTTTTTTTTTTTCCATTCACTTTTATTGCAAGCACCTGAGAACAGATCCCATCTGTCAGCTGAGGTCACAGAATTGCAGTATGGACACAGATTTTGTGTCCGATGTTTTGGCTCAGGTGTGATATCCACTTTGTAGAGTCTATTTTCACCGGTGTCTATTCTTAATTCTCTGACAACTGTTAACAAGCTGTGGCTGACCCACCCCAGGAAATGGTGACTGTGAATGAAGTCACAGTCATGGCAGGTGGAGTCCAGGCCAGCCTTTCTTATATTTCCTATTTCTGTCCTTGAAGTTGAATTATTTTTCTTTTGTTGTTACAAAAGACCTCTGAGACCTGACACCCTTGAAACCTTGCAACACGTTTTCCCTCCTCTTGGCACAGTGTCAGCCCACATGCCCCAGAACGCAAGGCTTGAGGAGAAACTTGAATGTTCACAAGTAGACAGCAGAGAGAAACTTACACAAGTTACTTTCTAAGGAAAGAAGCTGCCATGGGATTTCACAGAGTCCATTGACATCTGTCTCATAAAATATCACAAACCTCAGAACAGCATTGCAGTGACTTCCCTGGATACCCCACTGCATTCAACTGTGGGCTGAGGTAAAATACCCATCAGCTGAGAACTGTTTCCATCAACAAACACCAAGTCAGCCACCCTGTCTCTTGGCTTAAGGCTGCACAGATGAAGCATTGGAAACATATTCCAGAAGTCTAGGACTTTCCTTCCACCAAGCCAGCCAGGATGACTGGGAAAATCTAAATCCCCAGAAATGAACTCTTTGGGAGTCTGGGCTTTTGTCTGCAAGGGAAGGACTATGGGGATGCTTCTCTAGTTGTCCATGTGACTGTAAACCTAGGCAGTGAGGGAACATAGGATCCCACACAGAAAACACTGCCAAAGTGTGTAAAGTCAAATGGAAAGTCGGCAGCCTCTTGCTATCTGCATTCCCCTTTACGTGCACATTTTATGGGACGTCTTGCTGAGATGTAGAACTATGTTTCAAACATGGAAAGTTTATTACCTACAGTACGCAGATCGAAATGACTGTGACACCGGTGTCAGGGGGATTCCATTTTCATCTAAAGCCCACGAGAGGGAATAGCTAAGTTTTCCTGAGGTTAGAAGGCAAACTTTTTCATTCTCACTTCCCTCGAGATTAAAAGGCACATCTGTTTATGAAAGACATTTAACACATCACTGGCTTAGAAACCCACAAGCTGAGGGGTGGGGAAGATGATTCTTTGTGTGAAACGCTGCTTGGGTAAGCATGAAGATCCCCAGTTTGGATCCCCAGAACCCGTATGAAAGCTGTGACCCCAGAACCTGTATGAAAACTGTGATCCCACTCAAATGAAAGCTGTGACCCCAGAACCTGTATGAAAACTGTGATCCCACTCAAATGAAAGCTGTGACCCCAGAGCCATATGAAAGCTGTGACCCCAGAACCAGTAAGAAAGCTTCTGTGATCCCAGAGCTGAGGATGCAGAGACAGGTGGACCCTGGAGCTCAGCTGTCCAGCTAGCCTCGCCAAACTGATGGTCATTAGGTTTAGGGAGAGAACTCAGTTTCCAAAAAATTGGGTGGAGAGCAATGGTGGAAGTCACCCGGTGCAGCCTCTGGCCTCCATCTTGGTACCCTTCATCGCCCCTCTAAGATAACACCAGGAAGACTGCCTCAGACTACAAATGAGAGGAAAATATTGAGCCAAACATAGAGATGAGCTCTCCATTTCTTATGCCTGAGATTTTGTAAACAACCTCTTCCAGTAGGAAAGGATCATTGGCAGGAAAAAAAAAAAAAAAGAAAAAAGAAAAAGGGGCAGACGGGGTGGGTGGTTCAGTGGTTAAGAGCACTAGCCACTCAATCATGAGAACCAGAGTTAGGATCCCAGAACTCACACTGGGCATTCACAAATGCCTGTAACTCTAGCTACAAGGGATACAACACCTTTTTCTAGCTTCCATGAGTTTGAGGGCACTTGCATGCATGCACCCACTACACACACCCACACACACACACACACACACACACACACATACACACACACCTTACACACACATACCTTACATACACACAATAAGACTCGTTGTTAAAAAGGAGCTATGCAGTGGTGGCACATACCTTTAATCCCAGCACTCAGGAGGCAGAGGCAGAGGCAGGTGGATCTCAGTGAGTTTCAGGCTAGCCTGGTCTACAGAGTGAGTTCCAGGACAGCCAAGGCTACACAGAGAAAACCTGCCTCAAAAACACCAAAAACAAAACAAAACAACAACAACAAAAACCAAAAAAACAAAAACAAAGGAGCTACACTTGCCTTTCTTTACATTCCTGCATCTTTTCCCCACACCTCAACATTTACCACCACTATGTGAAAATACTGCTATGCTCCATATGCTTTGTGTTCTTACTCTTAGCGCAAAGGTTTCTACAGGAGAAAAGAATTTTCTGGTCTCTATGGACCCAAGAAGACTGTCCCTCCCATTTTTGTTTTGTTTGTTTTTTGATTCACATTTCTTTGACTTTCCCCTTGCTCTTATGTTCACACCTCCCTCCTTTTCATCTGATAGGCACAAATGATACAAAACCCCTAAGATGAAAGAAAGGAATCGGAGTGAAGCAATCGGATAACAAAGGGATAGAAAATTCCCTTCTTCTCTGCATCCCTCCTTTTCTCTTTACCTTCGCTACTGAGTCAAGAACAGCAGACACACCCTGTGGCATCCTTACAGTCGTTAAAAGAGGAAGTCATAACAAAGCCACCTACTGGAAGGTAGTTCAGAACAGGACCTGAGTTTAGCTCTTCAGCACCTAAGTAAAAAGCTGGCCATGTGACACACCTCTGCAGCCCCAGACTTGGGGAGCCATGGTGACACACCTCTCCAACCCCAGACTGGGGAGCCATGGTGACACACCTCTCTAACCCCAGACTTGGGGAACCATGGTGACACACCTCTGCAGCCCCAGACTTGGGGAGCCATGGTGACACACCTCTCCAACCCCAGCCTGGGGAGGCATGTGGTGCACCTCTCTAATCTCAAACTTGGGAGCCAGGGGCTGGCAGATCCTTGGAGCTTGATGGCCATCCTTCCTAGGTTCAGTAAGAGACTTTGTCTCAAAATAAGACAAAGAATGACTGACAATAAGATACCCAGCATCCACCTCTGGCCTACACACATAAGCCCATACACACACACCACACATACTTACACAGACATATAGATACACACCACACAATCACACACACACACACATACACACACACACACACACACACACTTACACCCCTTACATACAACACAAATACACACACACACACACCACGTAAATACACTTACACCCACACACACACACTCTAGAGCTCATTCCAGCAATGTTTAAGTTTCCCAAAGACCTGATTCAAGACAGTTTTAAACAATCTAGTTTTAACACCTGGAGTATTTTTCTTTTATAACCAAATACTGTACATGGGATTTTTTTTGTTTTTAAAGACTTGCTATGGAGCCCAGACTGGCTCCTGGGCCTTCTGAGAGCTGAGATTACAGGCAGGTGCTACCATAGCCAGTGTCGTGTAAATTTCCTCCAGATTGAAGCATTGCACCCTGCAGAGAAACAATTCAAAATAGCTTCAGGAAGTCCCTGAAACTGACCATACTCACTAGGTTCCCCCTTCCCTGCCAGAATGAGCAATCAAACCTGAGGGTCCCTCTTCAAGGAAGGGAAGCTGAGCTTCAAAGAAGACAGGCTAGACCTGACTAGGCCTGGGAGAAGCAGAGAGCAGCCAGGCTGCCTGGAAAAGGGTTAGAGCAGCTGAAGCACCTGGAAAGGACACCCTCCAACCTGCTGAGATGCCTGCAGGCTCTGCAGCGTGTTCCAGGTTCCCAGCTTTGTGAGCTGTCACTCATACCAGGGTAGGCTTTGTCGATGCCGCTGTCTTTGAGTAATTTCTGCTCCTGTAAGTGACCTCAACAAAACTCACTGGCTCACCAAGTTGGACTTTGGTGGTATCCATCCTTTGGTCTGTCATGGGCTCCCTATCTGGGGTGATTAGGTGTGTGTGTGTGTTGCATCTCCCCAAGAAAAGTTTTATCGAAGAACACCCAGCTAAGGGTCTTTACTCACAAGTATGACCCAAGTTCACTTAGGATTTGGTCCACATGGAAAAAGTGGAGTGCAGGAGATTTTAAAGGACTCACTGCTTCCTACGCCTCCATCCATAGGCCTGGCCAGTTTATCAGAGCTAAATTCTGTATATTCCAGGTCAGTCTTGTCTTTCAGCTCTGTCTTGTTAGGTAAAGGCAGATATAGTTTAACCAGTAAACTTGTCCTTTTACTTATTTCATAAACCTAAATATAAAATAAATGGTTGAGAACTCACCAAAATGCAAAACAGGAACAAGAAAAAAAAAAAGACCTCTCAATAACACATCTGTATCACTTTCGAAAAATACTATATAAAAATAGCATTGTTCTATTCCATTCCATTCACATAGTTAAGGTGGGAACAGGAAGCTGGCAGGTCACATGGCAACCACACTCACAAAGAACAGGAAGTGGGGACAAGCTAGGAAATATCAGTTTGTTTTTTACAAGGACTCAGTTCCTCCAGCAAGACTCTACCTGGTAAAGGTACAACAGCATTCCCAGTAGTGCCACCAACTGAGGACTAAGTATTCAAACATGTGAGCCTGTGAGATCAGGGGTCTGTTGTGTGTTCAGCTGTCTGCTTTCTTAAAGGGATCCAAGATAACAAGAACAAGGAAGGGGGAAAAAAAAGGATGAAGAACAAACACTGAAGCCACCGTGTCCCGGCGAGGAAAATGCTCAGCAATTGCCTGACACTCAGGATAGCCCTCTGCCTTACTTCAGCTTAAGCAATTCACTCAGAACGAACATTACTGCTGTGTGTTCCGGGCTGGCAGGAGTGTTAGTGGAAACAGAAGTATTTGGAACATCTACAAACAATTTTGTACTTAAGGCATGAAAGGCCATAACAGAGGTAGATTATGCATTTATGAATTGCAAAGTCATTGCTAGCCATAGAAATAAGGCATTCCTTAATATAAAAGAAATAAGCTACTGTATATAACAGGCATTAACCAGAAAAATAGCACATCTGGCACAAAATAAGACACAAACATAAATGAAAAGGGCATACCTCCAAGCAAATTGTTTCAGGCCAATATAACAGTTGAACGTTAAAAATCTGTTGAAACATGACTTTAAAATCAAACTGTAGGGGAGACACAGATGTACAGGAAACTTGTTTATCGTTATAAAATATTTTGATAAAATATTTAAGCTTTTGAATTTTGGCTCTCCTCTTTTGCTCAGATCTAAAAAAAAGAAAAAAAATCAAACCATTAGATGACCCACAAAATCAAAGACAATGTAAAACTGTTACTTTTCCCCCCAAATTACCTTAGGATGTTAGAAAGAATGACTATTTCAGAAGATAAATTCTATCTTTAAGTCAAATAGCACCTGCCTGTATGGGATAAGAAAATATCCTCTTTATAGTCAATCATTTTTGAAAATGTACATGCAAAAATAGGAAGGAACTAAAATCAAGGTTTGGCTGTTCATTCTGAAGAGTCATATCTTAAAGAAACTATAACACCCACCAGATGTTTTGTAAGAGAGGGAAGGGGGACACTTGGGTGTGGGGTAGAGGGTTTACATAAAACAACAACAATAAAACCACACACACACACACACACACACACACACACACACACACACACACACACTCTCTCTCACACACACATACACTTTATTCTTTTCCTTTAAAGGAACTGTAAATCCCTTAGGCTTCAGGCTGCATTAGCCGCTTTCCTGCAGAGACAAACAGCACAATAGGGGAAATGATATGCCACTTAGCAGAGGTTTCTATGGAAACACTTGCTGGTCATAAAATTACCTGGTGAGTAAGAGGAAATAAACATAGTCTTCCCATGCCTATTTATTTCACCTAACCAGTTTCTATCTTCTCAGACACATGGCAATTGGTGGAGGGAGGATTAAGGCTTGATCTTAGACCTGTTTTGGGGAGGTAAGCCCTAGACATAGGCCTGAAACCCGCTTCACCACTCTGCCATAATCAATTTATGGGCCAGAGTCTCTTCCCATTGTTTGTCCGCCCCTCTTGTAACCCTCTCAGAAGGTCAGGTGACAAACGATGTTTATTCTACGTCCCCTTCCTCTCTTCCACCTTCCCAATTAACCCAGAGAAAGCTGTCCTGTGTGTTGTCCTCTGAAAGTAGTTTTACCAACATTCTCACAAATAGATTACTCATTGGGAGCGTAAGTGTAAAACCACTTTGTGTAACTCAAAAGCCATTTGGTGTGATTTGAAATATGATGCCAAAGCTTGCCACCGAAAAGGTAGGCCTCAGAAGCAAGCCCCTGGCAAGCCACCCCACAGCTCAGATACAGCCTAGCCCAGGACAGTCCGTGGTATGCTGATGACCTGACCCAAAGGTGGCTTTGGTATGCTGGTGAACCAGCCCCCAGAGGAGAGCCCTGATAGCCCGATAACCGCACAATGGCATGATACAATTGGACCTCTGGGGATGGTCTCTAGGGTTACACTCTGTGCTCCCAAGACACTGACTGCTTCTCTAGCCTCTGCATTGATAACCATCAGCAAGAAGTCTTTGAGACTCTGAGTGTGGCTCTGGCCTCAGGAGCTGTTGAACTCCCTGCGTTGCCACGAGGTTCACACAGGCTGCTGGCCAGCATTCTTGAGAACTTCCTGGACCTCCATCAGTGCCATCCTCCCACCTGTCACAGCTGAAGGACTTCACAGCAGCTGTGGGTTGAGACCACAAGGGTCAGATGTGTTCTCACCAGAGAGGATTCCCCAGGGAAACCCTGCGGCAGCATTTCTGTGCAAATGACTGTTCCCTGCTCAGTGAGATACCTGTTCTAACTTTTTATATTAGCATGACGTTATAAGTAATGTTTGTTTGAATAAACTGAGCATATTGGAAAGTCAAATCTTGTGTGGAGAGCCTAATTTCTGGCCTTGGAATCAACATTTCCCTCCTTTCTAAGGAGTTGGCTTTGTTCATCTGTGAATGGGCAGCCGCCACACCATCTCATGGCCACGGCTTTGGAAGCTGTGTTTCCTTTGGCCTTGACCACACTAAGCCTTTTCTAGGTTTTCTGACACCTGGATCCTCTTTCCTTTCTCCTCTTTCCCTCTCTCAGGTCTCAGGCTCTCCATTTGTTTAGAAATGAGCTGGAGCTAGACTACAGAAGGATTTCTGACAGCTAGACAGAAGCAGCATTCCTCAGGAACTTATGGAATGGGTTTTCCATCCCCCAAAGAGTCCTTCCTCCCAGCTATCCTCCCTATAATCAGCAGGATTTGTTCAGCCCCTGTTCTCTATCTTGCTCCTCTATCTTCTGCTCCCTGGTGCTCTCTCCCCTCTCCTAGATAGCCCTGGCCATGTCCATCTATTCCTCTTCCTCTTGGCTATAGACTCTTCCAGATGCCTTTGGTTTCTTACACACACACACACACACACACACACACACACACACACACCAAAACCTTCCCCTGAATGGAGCAGTCATGTTGTCCATTTCTTTACTGTGGCCCATATGCCTTCCAATTTCTTTTCATGGTTCATTTCCCTTATTTCTTTTGGATGGGAATTCTGTACACATTTTACCTAATAAATTATCTTAGGCCCTTGTTAAAGGACAAATAAAAGGCTGCTTTTCTGCTGTACCTCTCTGCTCAGAAAGAGGATGGTGCTAATTGTGCCCTTCTGTCTACTTATTCTTTGTGTTTGCTTTTCAATACAACCATCCATCCATTTGCTTAGAAGTGTGAATATTTACTGGGGTATGGTCCATGTTCCCACTCTTCACTAAATGATGCATTCACAATACTGAATGATCAACTCGTCCTGCCTCCTCTGGGACAGAGAAGTAGAAAAGTAGATGCAATTCAGTGCCCTAAGCTGCAATATCCTGCTTATGGGAGATGGGATCTGTAAGCCTAGTGGATGAGAGAAATGTGTATATTTATTTATTCATAATGTCATAGGCAAGGACAAGGAAGAAATCTGGGAAGGAATGAAATTTGTACTGCCAAAGAAAGGAGCCATCCAAGGGACCTTGATCTTGACATGGAACAGTTTTCATAAACATAAAGGTGTTCTGTAATGAGCAAAGTGACAATATAATAATAGTGGCTTTATACCCCCCATCTCTACCTGAATAAAAATTATGACAAAGTATGAAACCTACTGATATCTAAGGCTTGCTAGTAAAGACAGTACAGACTTTACTGCAAGTTAAAATGATCTGTGTCCTCCCTCAGAAATGCATTTGATATGTGGCCTGGAGCAACTTTGCCTTCCATTAGAATAAACTCCCCCACTTCCAAGATGAGGATAGCATCTCACACTCCATAGAGCATTGGGGACAATCGAATGTCCCCATATATGCAAGTGTAGCAGTGTCAAACAAATGGCAGTCATGAAATCTGACATCATTATCAGCAACAATACAAGAGGTAACCCGTGAGGAAGAAACAGTTCTCTGAGGAGCTTACAGTGAACACTTGGATACATTTGTTAATTCTGCTGTGAAAGAAAGTTGTGGCACCAGCGTCATTGGCTTTATTCTTTCCATGTCCATTCCTTCAAGGTCTGAAGCTATATAGGGGAGTCCCTAGAAACCAACAACAGAAGGACAGATAATTTACCACGAGAACTGTTTACACTTGGATTTGTCTGGTATCTGTTTCAAGTTCCAAGAAGCACATACTAAGCAATGAAATCCATACCACCCACGTGTCTTCATTCTGGAATGGCGTTTCTTCATTCTCTTCCCCCGATAACATTCCTGCTTGGTTCTGTTCATCCCATGTGTTCATTTTTATCCTAATTAACAATAAATAAAATCGTTTAGAGTAGAAGTAATGTAGGTGTTTGGAAGTTGTTAGAGATATATTTGAAAAAAATATATTTCTAAGTGTTTCTGCAGTCTCCACCGGTTTCCTCTTCATCAGTAAATTTGCTACCAGCATTGGCAGCCTTCTCAAAGGACATCTCTCCTCAGATGACAAGGCCTGGTGTAGGTGACCAGAGGGATAGCAGGTACCGGTCCCAGCTGTTCTCTGGGGCTGATGCAATAGCAGTAAGAAGGCCACGGTGCCTCGATTGCTCTGCTACTGTTGGCATTGGTTAACTCTCAGTACTCACCAAGTATGTGTGCCTGAGGTACGGGATACACATCTACTCAATTCTCCCAGCCACGTGCAGTGGGCACTGCTACAGTTCAACAAAGCTCTGGAACATTTTCAGAAAGTACCTGTCCTGGGAGCTGAGTTTTCTTGATTAGGGGGTTTTGTGTTTCTCAGTTCAAAGTTTCAGTTTCTATTTTTAAGTTTCTGGAAGGGAGCCATGTCAGAAGACATATGCTCTGATCCAAGTGGAAAGGGGCACAGCTACTCAGGAAAGCAGTCTGGCGGTTCCTCGGAATGCTGACCAGATTGTTACCGTGTTGACCCAGCAAGTCCTCACCAAGGTGCAGTCACAAGAGAAATGAAACCTATCCAAACATGAGGAATGCTTATAAATGGAAAGAGGTTTCTTTTTTGGGTGATGTAAGTGCTCTAAGACCCTGGAATATAACTTAAAATTGACAAACTGTGAAGTATGATGATGGGAGAAGTTCTTCTGTGTATGTTTACCTTATTGGCTCTTGAATAAAGCACTGTTGGCCAATAGGAGAGCAAGTTAGGCAGGACTAGGAGTCGAGGAGGATTCTGGGAAAAGTAGTAGAGACAGGAGTCGCCATGTGACCACCAGGAAGACAGGACGCAAGCCTGGCAAGGTCTGAGTCCTCTATAAGGTAAGTCTTATACATATATAGATTAATAGTTATGGTTGATAATTAAGACTGATCTTGCAGATAAGAAATCCTAGTCATTGGCCAGCAGCATTGTACCTAATATAAGTCTCTGTGTGTTACTTTGGCCGCCCATGGGGCGGGGCTCAGGTGGCTTGGCAGAAAGGTTTATCATTACAGTATACCCTAGTAGAGCTGTTTGAGAGCTTGTGTGCTTTGTCCTTCTAAAACAGAATACAATGATGCTACTGTGTATAATACCTGTGTGGGCTTGAGACCAGGTTACACGTATTGAAAGCCCAGCCTTACTAACAGCACTACAGAATTCACACAAATGTCTGAAGGGTTCTAGGCCCACTCTCGTCTGAAAGTCAGGCTGATGTGAAGGCCGAATGTAGCCGGCCAAACATTCCCAGTAAGACAAAGGATAACCATTATTGCCTTTCTCTGATTCACAGCCATCAATATGGAATCAGCTGACTTGTACTTTAATGCAATCGGCTCAAGCTTTATAACATTAAATCACTTAGGGAGATTCAATTTTAAGACTCCTGGGCTCAGGACCATGCTTTATACCAATTAAATAGGAACAGTGGTTGTTACAAGTCTCAGGTGATTCTAATGGACAGTAATTTGGAGAGCCAGTGTTATTAGTAAGTTAGAGACTGGGAGTCATGTGTCCTGGGGCTATTATATTATATTATATTATATTATATTATATCATATCTCTTTGGGACAGTTATTGAGGTAGGGTGATGTTGGGTTTATGGATTCCTTTTTATCCTGGACTATTTGGAAAATGACAAGATTCTGGTTAGTCTAGTAAGTGTGGGGTCTCACCTTGTGTGGCTTGCATTCACCTTCTCACACCTTTTCATCTTAAGTACCTCTTAAGGGGCGATTTGAAGCCCCACCCGGTAGTAACCAACAGAGAACATAAGTGAAGACAGTATCTACATGAACCTGAGTTCTCTGTATTTACCAGTGTTGTGGTTTGGATTCAGTAGCTGGCAGCTCAGACAGTGTCTCTCTACCTTTTAAAAAGTTGTGCATGGTGTGTGTGTGTGTGTGTGTGTGTGTGTGTGTGTGTGTGTAATAAATATATCTCCATATATTTATTTATTTAGGTAGGGGTGGTGGCTCATACATTTGAACACCATGGCACAGGTGTAGAGGTCAGAGGACAACTTGCAGGAGTCACTTGTCCTTTGTCACACTTGGCAGCACATGCTGTCACCCACTGAGCCATCTCACCAGCCCAGGTCTCTCTACACTTAATGAAGTGATGCTCACACTTGACAAGGTGAGCTTCCAGCCTGAATGAGATGACCCGCTTTATCTCCAACTTCCTGCTAGTTCCCGTCAGCCACTGCCACTTTGTAAAACTTGCTTTAGCTGAGACTTCCATTTCCTCCCTGTCAGAAATCCATCCAGTATCCAGAAGCATCAACCATGGTTAGACATTGTTTCCTGTGGACATACAGTGCCCCTGCCCCTCCCCTATCTCTGACTGTGGTAAAGTGCTCACTGGTGTTCCTCTGTCTTGTGTTTGGTTTCTCCTAAGCCACTTAAAGCCATTTCTCAAGTATATGTTCTTAAACTCTCCTAATCTCACCGTGTCCCTTTTCCTTAAGGAGTACCACGGACACTGATGGCATTAATACTAGGCTACCAGCTCCCACCTTTTTCTTTCTAACATACTTCCAGCTGTTCGCTCAACTACCTCACTTAGGCATATTATTAAGGGACATCAGATTCTGTGCCCGAACCAAAACTTGAGAAGGAGGCAGCATCTCTATTGATTCTATAGTTTGGATCTATTGGGGCCAGGTCGGTCGGTAGAATAAGAGCGGTAAAGTTGTCCAGGAAAAAGAATTCTCGGGAGCATTAAACAGCCAACTTTTCTAGTTGATCTGAATGATACTTTAGGATCACTGCTAGGACCAACCTGGTCGCTGACACTTTGGGATTTAGTTCAGGGGTTTCTAAACAAAAGCACCACAGCAAATCCCAGCCCAAAGCTGTTTAATGCTAGGAAGAGTCAACATGGAGGCCCTCTGGTAGGACTGGAGTTCAAAGCAGTTGGGAATAAGACTTGGGGAACACAGATTATGTGCTCAAGTCCACCATTCCCAATAGCCTTGTGGTATCTGTGGCTGTCCTTTTGGAGTTCATGGTACATGGGTGTGTCAAGTGGTTTAAAAGATTAGAAGCAAGTTCAAGCTTGTATTGATTTGGGAGTTATGATGGAATTCCATGCTGGGTTTGTGTTTAGAAACTGTCAGACGAGCTTTTGTTACTACTGAACAGTGGAGGAACAACAGAAACCACTCCTTCCCTAGTTGTCTGAAAAAGACTCAGAACAAACAGTTGTCAGGAGCAGACTAGCTATTTCTCTGGGATTCATAAACTGCTTACACCATTAACAAATTTAATTCCAAATTAGAAATCCTGCTTAAATCTAACTTTCAAAAATATTTTACCATCTTTTACATATGGAGTATGATTGCTGGGTCCACATTCAACTTTGTGAGAAAGTACCAAACCACTTTTTTGCCCATCAGCAAGGAGTGCAGATTTTTGCTGCCTGGTGTCCTTGGTGGCATCTGTTAATGACTTTCTGATTTTAGCCTTTTGGACAGGTATGTTGACACTGTTTTACTGTGGCTTTAACTTTCTTTTCTCTCTGGCATGTTTTCATGTGTTCATCACCCATCCACTTACCTCCTGGGGCACATCTGTCCAAACCCTTTGGCCACTTTCAAATCAAGCTACCTTCTAGCAAATTTGTAAGACAATGAGTTCTTACTATGTGCCTTCCACATTTTCCCCCAGTGAGTGCCAATTCTTGGTATTCACAGGCACTCCCTCAGAGACCAAGAGATACTAGTAGAGTGACCACTTACTTGTGAAACTGCAGCTTTACTGGGGTGCTTGTAAATCCTTGCTTTTGCCTGAGAGATTTCATCTGTTTCCAAGTCTGTAGAACTCTGTGCAGAAGGGAGTGGTCCTTTTCCCTTTCTTCATGATATAGTCGCTTTGTGTCACTGTGAGAATCATCGCAGACCAAGAGTGGACAGCTAGGTTAGAACTGTCAGTCACTTGAAACACTGAAGAAGAACATACTGGACTGAACCCATCTGTTCCCCCTACATGACCCACATCTGGAACCTCTGTCTTAGGATGCTTTTCTTTTACCCACTGAAAACCCAGCAGAAATGGACTCGGCAGAGGTTTTTTAAATCACTATTCAAAAATGCTCTGCTAAAACTCAAGCTTTCCGGAAAAAGGAAAATCTCCTAGCTGAGGAGTCAGAGAGATCCCAAAGGAATGGACAGTGATGCTGCAAGAAAGGGACAGTGAAGGAAGGAAGGAAGGAAGGGGCTGGGAGCCTTGGAATTTGGTGATATTTCTTGCTATCTATGTGACATTTAGATCATTTCTGGTTGGTACTCTACTATTCGTGACCAAACAGTGTAAACCAGTCAGTGCTTTATTTGCTCTTGTATAAGGGTATCATCCTCCCATAAGTGGGAAGTTCCATTTGGACAGCCCTGCAGCCACTAATTTAGGAAGAGTTCAAATATTTTTGGGTCTCAGAATCTCAAAAGATTTTGGTGAGAAGAAATGATGGGGATAACCCTGGATACGGTCATTCTAGGAAGGTTCTGGGGAAAGACTGTCATTATTTAAAATACTTGAGGGTAGAGAAATGCCATTCACTATTGAACCTGTATCATTTCCATGGAGAGTGGCTACTCTCAAAAGCCCTTTTATTTTTTTTATTTTTCTTCGAGACAGGGTTTCTCTGTGACTTTGGAGGCTGTCCTGGAACTAGCTCTTATAGACCAGGCTGGTCTTAAACTCACAGAGATCCACCTGCCTCTGCCTCCCAAGTGCTAGGACTAAAGGCTTGCGCCACCACTGACCGGCCTCAAAAGCCCCTTTATTAACACATTAAAACCCACCACCCACGACAATGGACCCTCATGTCCTCATCAACTTTAAAGGCTCCACCTCCAAATACTGTTATCAACAACCATTTGGACATACCACTGATGGCACTGTTAAATGCCTAGATCATGAGCATTCTAACTCAACTAAAAGATGGATACTTAATCTGGCTGTACCACTGGTAGGCGGTTGTGCCTCGCAGGAGGAACTATGTCACTTTCGAGTGACTTGATTGGATGCGTCTTGCACCTAAACCTTCCCCTTTCCTTTCCTCACTTTCTGCTTCCTATCTGCATGCTTTTTGGTCAGTATCCCCTCTGCCACATTCTCCCCCACCAAAACTTCAAGCCTTCTCAGGTCCATCACATCTTTTTGGAGCTCCTCTGATGAGGGTCAGTCTAAGTAACGCCTCTCAGGTCGCCTAGGCTGTCATTGTCTGTTTCACAGACTCAGCTCTTTCCAAGCTCTTATCTCCAAGTTCACTGACTTCTCTGTCTGCCCAAACCTACTTTGAAACCAAGTCCTCGAGTGAGTTTCCTTTTCAGTTACTCTACTTTCCAGTTCCAGTCTTTCTCTTTGGGAATTCTGCAAAGTTTTTCATCAAGAAATCTTTCATCAGGAGATATTAAACCTACCAGGATTTTCTCATGGTAGTTCTATAAAATGTTTCTACACAAACACAGGTCTTAAGGAAAGACTGGCAATGTTTCTGTAATCTCCTGAAGAGTAGGAAGTTCTATTTTTCAAATTTCATATATCTCAGAGCAAACACATGCCATCTAATCTACTTAGTAAATGTTTGATGCATGCAGAACTCACTCAAAACCTACCTTATCGCCGGGCATTGGTGGCACATGCCTTTAATCCCAGCACTCGGGAGGCAGAGGCAGGCGGATCTCTGTGAGTTTGAGGCCAGCCTGGTCTCCAGAGCGAGTGCCAGGATAGGCTCCAAAGCTACATAGAGAAACCCTGTCTCAAAAAAAACAAAACAAAACAAAACAAAAAACAAACAAAAAGCAAAAAACAAAAAAAAAAAAACCAAACAAACCTACCTTATCTGCCAATAATAATCTTCTAAGGATTCTCTGGTAAACTGGCTTATTTCAGGTTTGTTTCTGGCTAGTTTGGTAGTCTCTGTCAGTGCTTTCAGCTGCAACCAAGAAGAGAGGTTTTTGCTGTATTTATTTCATATACATGGGACTAACTCACCTGTAGAGACCTAAGTCCAGATGTATGCAGCAGAATCACACAAGTGTAAATGTTGCCCTACCTTTTATAATTTAATTATTGTTTAGTAATGAAAGCAAGGTAAGACTAGACCAATACGTGAGTGGAGGAGGTGATCCTTACACACATAACAGTCCATAAATATATGCAGCAGACTACAGTAAAGACAGTTGTTCAAGTCAGTACAGAAATGGTAGCCCAGGCTCACCTCCGGAGGCAAAGCATCAAGTTGGAGCCTAATTTTATCCATGACACAGCTATAAGTTACACATAGAATAAAAGGGTAGAAGTTATGCACACATAATAACACATGGAAAAGTATCTATAATTTGATCTGTCAGATGCCAGCTGTGACTGGTTGCCCTTAAATGATCATTTTTCTTGGTTAAGAGAATAAGGATGGATTTGTTAGACTGTGGAAATATGTGACAATGATCTCAAACAGCTTATTTTATGTGCAGAGCTATGAGTATCAACAATAAAGATTAAGCCGCTCCATAAATGTATTAGTAGACAGTACTCTATGGAGATAAAACTTACTGTTGCTACACAAGGTTTTTTTTTTTTAATTTTTTTTATTAGTCCAAATTAGGAACAAGCTTGCTTCACATGTCAATCCCTTCTCCCTCTCCCTCCCCTCCCCCAACCCTTCCTCAATCCCCTACCTACCCCCATCCCATCCACCCTCCACTCCCCATGCAGGGGAGGGC